TGATGAAGTACCCGGGCAATGAGTATGTTGCCGTGCTGCGAAAGGGACATCTATTCAAGATCCCGCTCAAGCATGCAGATATGAGAGCTTCATATGACATGCTCAAGGCAACGTACCAGGAGATCCTCGATCTGGACCTGGAAGACAGTTGGGCTGGCATGTTGACTACTGACAATCGTGATACCTGGGGCTTGGTAAGTGGTGTCATGGACTTCTACTTGAGTTTTGGCTAAGATTCCTCTAGAACCGACAGAGACTGCTCTGTTTGGACAACAAAAATGCTGTTTATTTCGAAACTATCGAAGCTTCCGTATTCGTCATGTGCCTCGACGACAACAGCCCAGTGACGCGGGCAGACCGAGTCCGCTTTGGCTACATTGGGGACTCGTTCAATCGCTGGCACGACAAATGCACCCAGATTATTGTTACCGCCAACGGGCGCTCGGCATCCATTTTCGAGCATTCCATGATTGATCTCATGACGGTTTCTCAGCTTTCCCAGAGACTCCAAAATGCCATCGCTACCTTCAATCCTAGAAAGTCGACTCCAAGTCACGGTGGCATTGCTGTTGATCCAGCTAGTCTCAAAGAGATCCCTTTGGTAACAACAGATGACATTAATAACCGGATCGAATCCCTCCGCCACGGCTACATTTCTGTCACATCTGCAAAGCAATACGTCCCTCATCTCATCAAATCTTTTGGCAAAACCACCTTGCTCAGTCACTCCGCGCCCATCAAAGCGACCGTCGACCTAACAATCCAGCTGGCCAGTCGACTATACTTTGGCCACCTGCCGGCCAGTTGGGAGACCGTATCAACAGCGCATTTCCATCTTGGCCGTCCAGAGATTGTGCAGGTGGTTCGGAAGTCTGTGATGGACTTTTGCGACGCTGCCATTGACGATACTGTGCCTCGTAGCGATGCTCGTACCAAACTGGTACAGGCTGCACGAGAGTGCAATGCGCAAATTGCCAAGGGAACCGAGGGTCTCAGCTACTTCAGGCTCATGGATGTGATCGAGGTCATGTCTCAGGATCAGAAGGAAGAAGAAGTGCCAGAGCTGTTCTCTGACCCCGTCTGGAAGAGGGGCTACCCAAAGCTTATCATGCAAACAATGGTGGAAAAAAAGCTTGCAGAAGATCCGGGTTTCACCATGCCGGATCCAGAGTCGGTATGGATGAATTACACCGTATTTGATGATTCGTGAGTCTCTACAGCCCCGAGGTGACCACTACATGCATACATACTGATAGGTAACAGGGTTGAAGTGTGCTTCGTTAGTCCGGAGAAAAGCGCAGAACGTTTTAGAGCGGCTCTGGATAGAGCAGCAGAGATTGTAAAGAACATTATTTCAGAACGGAGTATACAGGACCTGCAAACTTGACACCTCTAACGGTCATTGGCTTTAGTTCAATTAATTATACTAAGCCAGCTTTAATTGGCATACAACTGCCTGGTTTCTATCAACTGGGCTTCCAGGACTACAAACTACAGTGAAGTTATGCCAATCACGAGACACATCAACATCTCTAGAAAATACCATTAGGCTAAAACGGAAGGTGACTCCACATCTTAGAAGGCAGGTATTTCAGGTTTAACCTTTTTACAATATCCAGTCCCTTGACGGCATCATACCTTTGCAGCATTCGCACAAGAACATAGCCGGCCTCAGTCAATGCAAGCTGCTGGACGATATAGATCCTCGGGCCTCCATTAAACTGTACGAAATGCCATGCGGCGCTAGCAGCTCCCCCCTTCTTCTCCCAACGTTCAGGAACGAAGTCGTCCGGTCCTCGTCCCAGAGGTCCTTCCGTCTTTGGAGCACATGCGTGCTGAAGTTGACCTCTGTCCCTTAAGGTACAAAGATGGGACTCTTTCCGTCTGTCCCACTTCCTGTTGGGAGCGTAGAGTTCCGAAGCGCACGACGGGAGCTGAAAGGTGCAACGGAGTGTAGTCGCAGGGTCTCAGACAGAGCGTGCTGAAGACATGTACATTCTTTCAAAGAAGAAAACGTGATTGTAATGAAGTGCCATTAGTGCTGGGGCCAAAGGAAGAGAGGATCTCGGAGCGAAGTTTTGCAAACGCATGAGGGTTGTGGACAAGGCAGTATCATGTCCAACTCATCAACTAAGCCGTGGTATCTATCTCGTCCTGTGGCGAGAAGCCCAAGAACCTGTTCCTTGATCTCTCCACCGCCACCGCTACACTGGTCGCGGAGGATATCAAGAAAGCCATAGAGACAGAAATAGCATTGTCAACAAACCCGCACAGAGTCTTCAAGCATGAACGCAGCTCACGTGTGTCATAGAGCCAGTAGAAACTGCGTAAGCGGACGATCAGATAGGTAGGCCTCGCAAGGCTACATGGGATTCTGGGGAACATCCGGGGTATCGACCCCGTGAGCCCCAATCGGTGAGCATGTCACTATGTCTTTCCAGCACTGTTGATCTCAAACGACGAGCTAACGTAACAGTACCGGTACAGGTTGGGAACGTGACTATATAGGGAATGGGAAGATGAGAAAGCCTTGCCCTATATATCTAATCAGTGAATCACTAAAATGGAAATCACAGAAAAGCTTCACCGCATCTTCCTCTTTCATACTCTGAACTATCTTATCTGTAATTTCACTTCTGGTCTTTGGCCTGGGCGCCCTGGCTAATCCATTGTCCAAGAGGACTGCTTCCGTCAAGTTCGCCAACGGCGCCATGAACTGCGGCACCAATGGAAATGTAGAAGACAGAACTGTCTGGCCTGAGAGTATGAAGGTCATGACATTATAGGCACCCCAAACGACTCAGGAGGACGGCATTGTAGATTCTATAGTTGGCAGCCTCTCTACGATCTAAAAGCCACAGACGTCAGTAACAACTCCACATATCAAGCTCAACACACTTGCACATTGTCATAGGATCTTGACTCTAGTCCATTTTTAAGTGACACATTTTCAACCACATTCTAGTTCGTAAAAGCTGTGGACTGTATTTTCATGCCTCGAGCTATTCCCTACTAGGCCAGTTAATAGTATAAAGATCTTGCAGGCCTCCATAACCCAGAGAGTCTAAGCATACTTGCAGGATAAAATAAAGAGTCTAACAGCACTAAACGCAACGCTACCGGAAACATAAACCTGCTTATATGTAGTCTATTGCATGGGGACTGGTGTGTCTGTAATATTCACTTTTCCTTATAATTTAAATGCTGACTGCAGGTTGTCTAAGTTAGCTAAGTCAGACGGACTAATAATCCATCCGACTTAGCTGCTAACACGCCTCAGGCATGCAGACTAAGTAATGCAGTGATAGGCTGGTTATAGCTTAGTCATTACGATATCGTGACTATTAATTTGCGGGATTTTAATAGATAGTAATGGAGCGTAAACAATCACCTTTATTAAGTTATGTGCCTTGGGATATACTATTCACTACAGAAGAGCACTAAAAACCAGAGTGAAATTGCCCTTAATACTTCTTTTTCTATACAGAAGTGAACTATTTAATTTTCCTATCTTCATATTCGTTCGCAATAATGAGTTTGGAGTCTAATTCTCAAAGAATGCCCACATCACGCTGTGTTTTTATCACTGGTGTAACCGGATTCGTCGGCGGCACTATCCTATCCTGCCTTTTCAAGGTACATCCTGATGTTCGCGTCAAAGCTTTGATCCGTGAGGAGAAGCATGCTAAAGAACTCCAATCGGTCTATCCAAATCTCACCCCCATCATCGGCGAACTTTCCTCGCTTTCTCTCCTCACATCCACGGCAGCTGAGGCCGACTTCGTCATCCATGCTGGAGGTGACAATGTCCCTGCTGTTTGCGCGATGATAGATGGATTATCATCCCGTGTCACCAACGGATCGCCCATGCCACAGCTCATCAGCCTAACCGGCCCGCGAAGTCTTATTGACTTCTCGAGTCCTATCACTGGAAATCTGAAGGAAAGCAGCCCTCCTTGGAGCGATATCCTGGACGGGCATGCAATACTGAACGTGCCGAAGGATCGCATCCACGCTGGTGCTGACCAAGCCATCGTCGCTCACAGTGCTGATAAAGGAGTAGGCACAATGCTGATCTCGCCTGGTCAATTGTGGGGACGGGGCAAGGGCCATCTAAAGAAGGAGAGCAATGCGGCGTTCTATTATGCCACTGTTAAGAGCCGTGGACGGGCCTTTGTAATCGGTGAGGGTACTGCAACATGGTCGTGGGTCTCCATTAGTGATTTGGGAGATGCAGTCGTGTTCCTGATGGATGAGGCACTGAGCAAGAGACGAGGACAAGTAGGAATAAATCAAGACGGCTACTACTTTGTTAGTACCGGAGACCTGAGTATGGTGGAAAGGGCCAAAGCTGTCAGTGAGCGCTTAGGTCTTGGAGAAGTAGAAAGCGTGTCAGTTGATGCCGCAAGAGAGATCCATCCATTTGGTCCCATTATGTGGGGTTGTGGTGAAAGAACAAGAGCTGACAAGCTGTTCGAACTTGGTTGGAAACCCAAACAGACTGAATGGAAGGCTTTAATGGAAGAGGAAGGTGGAGAGAGGGCATAATAGTAGAAATAAAAAAGAGATTTTAATAGCTATTAAAGCAGAAAATAGAGAGTATATATTATAGTAACGCGGCGTTAACCGAGCGGCTCGTTTCTAGATGGATGGGTGGACCTGAGTAACACTGCAATTTTAGCCATGTTAGAGGCCGCTTGTTATGAATTTTGGTTATAACAGTGTAGGTTACAAACAGGTAAGGGAAACAATTTTCTCGCTTGCTATTTAAATACTGGGGACGCCTATAATAAAGATATGTAAAAAAATTCCTTACATCGCAATCCAACCTTTACCTGGCTTGTGGTCCTTATAAGCTGTTTCTTATTGTAGTCAACCGAAAATCCGCCAACCAACAAATACCGCTAATGCTGGTGGGCGCATTTAAATGTATATTTGCCTTGTCTTTAGCGAATTGTTCTAATTTAAATTCTTGGTTAGTGGAGATAAAAATCTGAGACCTATGATCTGTCATCTCCAGTCTCATCCTGAACTGAGACATAACCCAATTCGTGCCTCTCTTCTCCCAGCTGGTTTACCGTCCCCCTCAGGACAGGAATATCGTCGCCGCCCCTCTCCCACGATCCCTGCCCAGCATTCTGAATTGCGCGACGCTGTAATTGAGATACCGAGTCAAGCCTCCACTGCTCCAATCGGAGGTTCGAGGTCGGCTTCTTGTTCTTGGCCTTAGATGACGTCGCCCTACGCACCAGTGAGAACAGCTTCCACGTAGAGTCAACGATGACCTCTACCGCGAGGCTGAGGATGATGATACCGCCACCGATGCCCGCGATGATGGCAAGCCCGGCGATGGAAAAGGTCTGCCACTTGGCGATGTTTCGCAGCTTCTGCTGGCTGCACATACTCTCGAGGTCTGAAGTGATGTTGGTCTTTTGTGAAGTCAATAGATCTAGGTTTAGCCGCATGTAAGGATCTAGCTGAGAGTCATCTTTGAAAGCAAATGAGACGACCCTGAGCTGATACATAGCCAATGTCGTTTCGAACCAGCCTCTAGCCTCTGCCAACCACTGATCACTGGGCAGGCCAACAGAAACACTAGAAAACACATTCCGCTGGGCGCGCAGCGCAGCAACACCGAGACCATTGACAGCATTGTACATCTCTGTCAAAGAGCTAGGCAACATGAAGCGCGCTGCAGCGGCCATCTGGGCGTTATTGAAGTTCAGCTTCTGGAACTGGCCCGTCACTTGCTTCATGGACCCCATCGTGGTCTGGATGCTACCGGATGGGTTCTGGAGCTGGTAGCGGTCTATGCAGGCCACGAGGCCGGCTGGCATGTCGGGCGTGAAGAAAGAGGTGTCGTTGAGGGGCTTGGTCGCAGAGAACAAGGGATCTGTTACTTTGGACTCGTATTTTATGATGCCGAACTGGATGACGAAGAGGCTCACGTCGCCGTCTGACGAGTTGAAGTCCGCTATAGGCGTCCAAGGGTGAAAGGCGTAGTATGGCCTGCAGATGGTCAGTCCAACAGGTCTTCACCAGCATCACCCATTGCCTATGCTAGAGTATACATACTGAATATTGTATCCGACATAGTCTGGGGCTTGTCTCTCTATGGCATAGGCCGTATAGTTCTCAGACAGGCCCTCGACTGGACCCAAGTCGTACTCGTATCGAAACAGGTCATTTCCAATTGACGCCAGAGTCGTCAAGTCTCGAACGTCCACAACCGCACACGTCGCCTGCTTGCGCATCTGTACGCGATCCGACACTGGCGCATTCATCCCAAAATCCTCATGTGAGTCCATCCATCCTGTCTCCATCGTGATCGGCGACACCTTGCACCGACCTCCAAACGGACAGTCGGATATCTGATAGACTGCGTAGTTAAGGCTCTGTCGGGGTAAGACGGAGCAAGACAGGGCATCCGTGGAATTGTAGCAGCTGTTCACGTAGTTGAGAGCTTCCGAGGCAATTCGCAGGCTATTTTTTTGGAAAGCTATGTTTCCTTGGGATGTGCTCCGATTCCACTGCTCGAAACCGCAGTTTTGACTCTTGGCTAGAACCTCATTCCCCTTGTACACCGGGTGTGTCGTCAGGAATGGCGATGCGGGCCCAGCAGCGGTGTAGATTAGCCAGACAAACGTTGGTAGGCCGCCAAACAAGCACAGCCGACGCTTTCGTCGGGTCGTATACGGGCTCGCTCGTCGTTTCCACCATTTCTTCCAGCTCTCCAGCCCCGCATAGACAATATTTCCCTTTATAAGAGACCACACGAGCCCGAGCGGGGAGGAGATGTTCTTGTACAGCGCCTGCTGGGAGATATGAATGCCATCATGCGGCTCGCCTGGGTTCGCACGGCAATAATACACGATGAAAGCGATTAGACTCCAGAGTTGACCGCCTGCGATGGCGATGAATGTGGAGGTACTGGCAACTAGGATGGAGCCGACAAAGGCGGGCAGAGTCAACTGCTCGGAGTAGTCGAGTGAGTAGTTATGCCACAGACCCCAGTGGATTTTGTAGTCGCTCATGGCTGGATTGTTGTCGCAATGATAGTGATCTTCGTTCTGAGTTTCAAGAAATGGTAGGCATAAAGTTAATACTCCTCAGCAAGATATCTCGACTGACAAGCCGAGGACCGTCCCCGGCATCAGTGGGGGCCATTACGCACATGCGCAAGCAAAGAGGAAGAAAATCATGTATTCAAGACTCGGTGTTCGCGGTCTCTCGGGTAATCAGTGCCGATATATTAATAGTTGTATGCAATGTGAGACCCTGCAGCCTTAGTTCCACGCCACACCGTTGCTAGCAGGGCTCAAAGTCCAATCGACGGGATGATTATTTATCACACTCTGCCCCATAAGGCTCATTTGTTTTAGGTGAATCCTAGTTAAGTCAAGTTAGAATTGAGGAGGGCAAGCGGGACAGGGGGTTTGAAAGTTAAATGCCACACAACGACGTCAAGCTGCCAAGGCTTACGCGTCCTCGGAATTTATTACGTAGATATCATCTACAAGTATTCTCACCATGGAGTGTAGCATCCTCCCCATATTCTTCCCTCTTAAATCCGATATGTTTTATTAAAAATATTAACTGATAATGATTCCTCTCGTCTTTATCTGGGCAGTTCTGGCCTCTGCCCAGCTCCCTATACCTAACCTGGGACCTAGACTCAGCGACAATATCAACTTTAAGAAGACTATCTTTATAGAGTGTAACAACTTTATACTAACTTGCGCTTTAACTATCTCTTCCTGCGCATTTATGATTTATAAATAACGCACAGGCCTGGGGCAGAAGGCTCTTAATGCCTAACTCCAAATTCCAAATTGCATTAAGTTGGCGCGAATTAAAATCCTATATAAATCGAAACTGCACTATTAATAATAGGAGGTAGATGCAATTTAGAAATAGGAGGTTAGTATAAATTAAAACTACAGTAAGTAATTTAATAAAACCGGTATTATTAAAAAGCAGATATTTAGGTAAGTTATCTATTTGATTTTTAAGGTATAGTCGGTTTATTTATAGTTATAATATAAAGTTAAAGTTTAAGAGTTAATTAAAAGATATTATAGAAAGTAAAGAAATTAAGCAGTTTAATTGGCTAAATAAGATATAGAGAGCAGGCTATTAGTAATAGAGTTTAATATTTAAGATTAAGGGGCTAGTAAAAGAAAGTAATAGCAGGAGTTTAAGAGATAAAAGTATTAAGTATTATAACTAAAAAGATACTAGCTATTATCCGATTTTCTAATATATATATAATATAGACCTATTTATTTATTATTTACTGGCATTTTTATTTCCTATTTATATAAAATGTAAATATATATATATTATAAATAAAGTATTAGTATATTTAAAAAATAACTATATATTAATAATAAAATTTAAAGTAAGGTAAGTATAGAAAGCAGTTAATATAATCTTTAGTATTATTAAGAATTAGGCAGAGTTAGAGTAGTAAGAACTACTATTATCTACTATAAAATAGATCTTATATATATTACTGCCTAAAGATAACAGTAAGGGTTATAATAAGTGCAATTATATAGAATTAACTGATAGATATATTTTAAATTATTATAAGGTAGAGTATAGGTTTATTAGTAGCTATAAGAGAGGATAATATGCAGGATAAATAATAATAACTGAAAAGCTATAAAGAGAAGGTATGTAATATTAGTAATTATTTTGGTTTTAAGTAAAAAGTAGTTTTATTAAGGTTAAATACAGTATTAAGGTTTATAAAGATAAGGACTAGCTATAAAAAGGTATTAACTAAATAGCTAAGTTTTTAAAGTAAATTTATTAAGAGAATAAAGATATATTTAAAAGTAAGGATAAAGTATAAATATAGAATATTTATAATAAGTAGAAGGCAAGCCTATAGTTAAATTAGATAGGATAGCCAGTATATTTAAATAGATTTAAACTAGATATATTATAATAGTTAATATAAGCAATTAAAGATAATAAGCCTGTATTACAGTAAAAGTAGGCAATATTTAATTTTATATTAAATAAAGTATATAAAGCTGCCATTTAATATAGCCTAAGGTTAGCTAAATTATTTAAGATTAAGTAAAAGGAGGCCTATATAATAATAATAATACTATTTAACGGTAGGATAGAGGATAATATATAGCCTAAATATAAAAAGAGATAGAGAATATTAATATATATTTAGCAATAAATAGAATTAAAGGATAAAGATAAGCGGCCACTATATTCTATAATAATATAATAGGTTACGTTATAGAAGCAGTTTAGTAACTATATAGGGCAGGTTATTATAGGAATTAATATAATAGGCAGGTTTATGCCAGAAAGGTTAGAGAGGTTATATTTAGATATAGTTATTTTATTTTTAGATTATCTATTTAAAAATAGTAATTATTATAAAAGTATTATTATTAGCAGATTAGCTATAATAGGTATATTAGATTACGGCAGGTAGTTAATACTAATAAAGTATATATTAATATATTTAGCTATTATTAAGGTAGTTAAGTATTTAGTGTTATATTAATTAATATTAAAATGCTAAGATAAAGTATTGCAATTATGGCAGATTATAAGCCAGAAGAGGGTATAGAAAGAAGTAATAGGGTTATTTTAAATTATTTAGCATAAAGTATGGCAGTTTATAATATAGATACTAGAAGGGGATAAGGCTAATTTAATATTAATAAATTAGATTATTAATATAAGGATATATAGAATAAAGATTAAATTTATAATGCTAGGTATTAAAATAATTAATTAGTAGGGGGATAATATTATATATAGGAAGATTTAATTAAGTATAGAGAAGATATTAAATATATTATATAACATATTAGTAGAGGCAAGAAGGATATTAGCTAAATTAATAATAGTTAATAATATAGAGAGAATATAGGAGATATTACTGAGAATACTATAGTTAAGGATAGAAGATAATTATAGATAGAAGGAGGTTAGATATTTATTTTTAAGTAATAATAGAAATAAATAGTAGGTTTATAAGGGGAAAGATTAGGTTATAAATTAGTTATTAAGCTTAAAAGAGAAGTATAAGATATAGTTAATAAAAGGATTATATAATAGTTAACTATATAAGATAAGCGCTATATAAAGATATAAGAGAGCAGTTAAGAAGTTCTAGGGGTTAAAATAGGTTAGATTGTTATATTTAGTAGGGATGCTAATATAGATATTAGAATTATTAAGGTTATAGATATTTAATATAGGTAATAGCAAGATATAAAATATATTAATATATTAAGGGATAATATATTTATTAGTAATATATTATAAAGGGTTCTAAAAATTAGGTAAGATAAAGGTAATATATTAATATTTACCATAAGAATTTAGAGAGTTATTAATATAGTATATATAGTTAGTTTTGCCGTTTTAGCAGAAGGTATAGGGTAGGGTAAAGGAGAGATAAAGGGGAAATACATTTTTATAGGCCAATAAGGTTATAAGTTAGGAAGGTAAGAAAGAAAAGAAAGGCAATATAACAATAAAAGGGGATATAAAGATAAAAAAGGTAGTGGCCAATAATAGCAGTAAGGATAAGGATAATAAAGAGGAGAAAGCATTTATAGAATAGTTTTAGGAATAGAAGTAGATAAGTAATTAGGTATAAAGGGTTTTATAATAGTATAGTATATAATTTATAGAAAAGCAATTAAATATCAGTATATAGAGATATATTATAATTAGAATTATAAACCGGTTTTTAAATAAGTTATTTAGATTATTAGAAACAGAAGATAAAAAAGAGGATAAGGAAGGAAGAGGGTTAATAAATAGTATATATAATTTATAGGTAGGGTATGGATTATATATTATAGGGTTAATATATATAAGATTATATAGATAGGGCAATATAGAGATAATAAGGAGCTAGAATAAGTTTTAAATAGTTAGTATAAGATAGTATGCGTTTTTTAGGTTTAGGGCTAAAGACTGTATTAAGTGTAGTGGCAAAATAGGATTGAAGTAAGGTTAGATAGAGTTTAATATAAAGCAAGAAGATATATAGAGGTAGCGGTTTAAGCGGTTATATAGGGCCAATATAAAAGGGCAGTTAAAGCAGATAATAGGCAAGTTAGCTGAGTTTTAGGGGTTATAGGAAGCTATAATCTAAAGCATAGTATATAAAGATAGGCTAATTATATAGATAATACCAACTAGAGGTAGCAAGAGTTTAATATTTATATTGCCGGTATTTTATATACTAGATAGTATAATAATTATAATAATACTATTAGTAGTATTAGAAAATAATATAGAGGAGTGATATAGAAAGATAGAGATTAATAGATATATATAGAAGAGCTAGGAGGTATAATAAGGTGTATTATTGGTATTTATAACGCCAGAATTGGCCGTAATAAAAGGGTTTTAATTATTTGTAGAGAGAATATATAGATAGGAAAAGTTAGATTAGGTTGTAGTAGATAAGTGTTATATAGTATTAAAGTAGATAAAAATATTCTGGCTATAGATTAGGTAATTAGGGTTAGTATTATAGGAATTTAGGTTATAGATTATTTATTTAATGGCAATATTAAAGAGGATAGAAGAGCGGTTATTATATATACAGTTAGGGTTTAAAGCTAAATGTATATATTTATTTTAAGAATGTATAATATAGCAGAATATTAAGTACTAAATAGAGATTATTAAGGAAGAGAAGAAAGGAGTAAGTTGCTGTAGTGGTTAGTAATAGAAGTAGAATAGATTAGCAATAAAGGATAATAAAGATAAAGAGAAAGAGGAAGGTAAGGTTATAGAGTAGGTTTATAAAGTAATAAGGATATAGATAGAAGTAAATTATAAGGAGGGAAAAGTAATTATATATAGAGGTATAATTAAAAGGGTAAAGAAGATTGCAGTATTATTAAATTGTATTAAGTATTAGAATAAGACAGGGAGTGTAGAGAATAAAGGAAGATAGATAGAGAAGTGGAGAATAAATATTAGAGGGAAGTTAGGTTAGATTGTTATGATAAATATATTAGGATTAGGA